GATGTTGTCTTTGCGAGCCGAGCTTGAGCAGAATGCCACTAGAGTTGCCAACCTAAGTGCAGAGTAGACAGAGAAGGTGGCTGAGCTAGAAAGGAAGGTGGCCGAGTTGGAGAGGGCCGAGGGGGCCCGTGTGGAGACTTTGGCAAGGGCGGTGGCGCTGGAAGACACTATCTGCGTCCTCAGGTCTGAGTGGGAAGCCAAGAGGGCGGCAGCCTCACTGAAGGAAGCAAGGCTCGAGCAGCGGATCGGTGAGCTCGAACGGGATGCCTCAAACCTGGGAGACCAAGTTATGGCTCTCGAGGCCGAGAAAGGCGCAGCTGTTGGCTCGTCCCCCCGCTCCCCCCTCAGGAATCTGCCTTTGTTGCTGTCCCCTGCCATTTGTACGGGTCCATGCTGAGGCCTAGCGAGATATATACAAGGGTTTGCGGGTGGCGGAAAGCGTTCCTGAGTCCACTTTTGAAGATGCTCGAATCAAGGCACGCGAGGCTCGTCTTGCCTGCGGTTATGACCCTGCGACACCGAAGGCCGTGGGGGTGCTGAGATTGAAGATGGGCTCTCTTCTGATAATGACAATGCTGACGAGGACGGTGGTGGAGATGAGGCCGAGTGAAGTTTTCGTAGCTTTTTGTTCTTAGATTTTTTTGTTGTTGTTGCTTGTTTTTCTTTTTATGGGGGCACGCTTTCAGCCTTTTGTAAGACGTTGTCGTGTATGTATATATATCTGAATAAGATAGTTGGTTTGCCTTTGGTGGCATATCTTTTGACTTTCTTTCTCTTCTTTCTTTTTTTTTTTTGAAAAAGATCTTCAGATTTCCCCGTGATGAGTCCCTGACTTTTAGTTGGGAATTCGAATGAGGTCGAATTTAGCTCGCCGATTCGAGCGAGGTCGGATCTTATCTCGTTAGTTCGAGCGGAGTCGAACCTTGCTTTGTTAGTTCGAGTGAGGTCGAACTTTAATAACTTGAATGAAAGTCGAGTTTCTCTTCGGCGGTGTCCGGGGGCGTATGGGTGTAAATTCGAGCGAGGTCGAATTGTAACCCGTTATGAGTTCGAGCTAGATCGAACTTTGGCTTGTTGACTCGAACGAGATCGAGTTTTACTTTTGCTTGGCTGACCGGGAGCCGTAAGAATACAACTTCGAGCGAGGTCGAGTTTCGTCCTGCCAGTCTGGGCGAAGTTACTTTAGACCTGTAGATTCAAGCAAGGTCGAATTTTGACTTGCCAGCTTGGCGGAGTCAGTTTAGACTTGTAAATTTGAGCAAGGTCGAATTTTGCCTTTCCAACTTGGGCGGAGTGAGTTTTGACTTGTAAATTCGAGCAAGGTCGAATTTTGACTTGCCAGCTTCGGCGGATTCAGTTTTGACTTGTAAATTCGAGCAAGGTCGAATTTTGACTTGCTAGCTTGGGCGGAGTCGGTTTTGACTTGTAAATTCGAGCGAGGTCGAGTTGTAACCCGTTATGAATTCGAAGGAGGTCGAACTTTACCTTCACTTGGCGATGGCTGGGGGCCGTAAGGGTGTAAATTCGAGCGAGGTTGAATTGTAACCGGTTATGAATACGAACGAGGTCGAACATTACCTTCACTTAATGATTGTCGGGGTCGTAAGGGAGTAAATTCGAGCGAGGTCGAATTGTAACCCGTTATGAATTCGAACGAGGTTGAACTTTACTTTCACTTGGCGATGTGCGGGCTCGGTGGAGCGGTAAGAAGGTTGCATGTTGCCTTGCTTCTATTGGAGACTATTACTCTTTGCTGCATAGTTTATGTATGTGTCGGGGTGAGTCCCAGTCGATCTAGTCCCTTCATTGTTCGGCCTGGAGAGACCGTTGACGGGACGGGCGAGTAATTTGTTGCTTAGGATTTTGGGCACCCTGGGACTTGATTAATTCGAACGAAGTTCGGACGTGATTCGTAATATTTAGTCGGCTAAACCGGTATAGGATTGCCATGGCGAGCATACGTGCAAGTTTTTTGTGTTCATATTTTGCCTGTGTTAGAGAGATTGTACGTTCCATGGGTTCACCGCCAATCCTAGGTTATGGAGATTGTTTCTTAATAATGCCGGCTTGTTCTGAGCCGGTGTGGGGGGTTTTGCTCGACCGTTGCATGCGGGACGATATGGTGCGGAACGTTTTCCTGGCATGTCATTTTGGTGGCGTTTGTTCCTTGTTCGCGCACCTGGGAGAATGCTCATGTTCCTATCGCAATCCAAAAAAGAAAAATAACAAGTTAAACCCAAACGAAATCGTCTGTTACCTTGACCTGATTGGTTGGCAAGGGGAGAGGGGCGTTGTAGAACGACACGTTTTGTCCCGTACTCGAATGACGGCTTCAGATTTGGTATCCTCGTGCTTAGCTTCATCGTTAGTCGAGTTTGGGCTTCTTATAGGCTGACAAGTTACTTCGCCTGTTGGGATCTCGAGTTCGAGTCCCGGTTCGATCCCGTCCGAGGTGCACAAAAATAAGGGAAACATAAGTTATACTCCGTACATACGGGTAGGACAAGCTTGTTATTTCAAAGAATCACACAATAGGCTATCATCCCTTCCTAAGAGGGAGGGGGCAATGTGCATGAAGTATAGATCGGTATATAACGTTAATATAGCAGATAGGATTGCGGACGTGCTTAGTGCGTAGTGGCCATAATTCTACTTTGACAGCTCATACTCATGACGTGCCAAACCCATCGCTACAGCAAGACATGGATTTTGTATAGATATCAGACAACTTTGATTTCATGCAAAGATCTGACCCTGGTTGGTTCGGTTATTTCAAAAGCTTTCCTACGAATTTCTCAAGTTGGTGTTTATAATGAGAGAGTGAGGCTACGACAACCGGGAAATGCAACTCTGGCTGACTTTAGATCTAGAGGAAACTAAAATTTTGGCTAGAAAATCCCCACAGACGGCGCTAAATTGTTTGACTAAAAAGTGTTAAGCCTTTTTATAAACTAATTAAATAGGAAGATTTGAGGTAAATCCTAGCCAAAGATAATTCGTCCTAGATCTGAAGCAGAAGATAAGAACAAGCAAGCATAGAGGAACATAAAATTTAATCATAGCAATAATTGAATCCCGTAATGTAAGAAGAAGATGGTGATTTTCATAACATTCAGTAATAATGAAGAATACATAGATGAAAAGTGTCACCGATCTTTAACAAGGTTGACCCGCCCACATTTGATATGATGAGACTAACGATGTATACTGAGGATCTGAGCTTCCTTGCTTCTTTCTCTTTAGCGGGGAGAAGGAGATGAAGATCCCTCTTCTTTTCTGAAAACATGCCTCTGTGTGTGAGTTTTTTTTTTTGCCCACCTTCTTCTTCTTCTCACTTAGTTTAAATACTAGGTATTCTCATTTACCCAACGGTCATTAGCCGTAGCACCTACGTCATTTGACTGTATTACTGGTTGACCTCCTGAAATGCCGTAACATCCAATTCACCGTTCAAGCATTCCGATACACGAGCTCAACCGTGGCCGAGGTACGTGTCGTTATAGTGTTGTATGGATACGACTTCGGCCTAAATGACTTTTTGTCGTTCCTTTTCACGCGATTCTCGTCTGATCAGATTTCGACCCATACAACTACTAGTAAAGTAGTAGATAGAGAAAGGAACAGCAGTGCCAGTTATGAAGAATATGTAACTGTTAAGATGGGGAAGAATGAAGCGGAGCAGAAGAGGGGTATTTTCGAAGGCAGAGCCAGGATTTCAAACTTACGGGTCCAGTAGTTAGTTTCTTTTAAGTTACTGGATTCTAAATTAACAATTTGTACATAATTCAATGGTTTTTAAAGACAAATACAGGGTTTGGATAAAGTTACTGAGTTCAGCCGAACCCGTATTCAAAGGGCTAGTTTCGCCCCCGGGTATTTTTATTCAAATTTTAGTTATTTATTATAACGTGGTTAAACTTTAGATAGTTACATTAAATACTGGCTAGGTATTAAACAGTCTTCTTAAAATGGGCTATTTGTGTATTTCGGCCTTCCAAGAAATGCTAAGGAGCACCTCAGTATACTATCTCGCGAAGTAACAGGGAGCAGGGCGGATCCATTGTATAACATATCAGTTTACGTGAACCTAATAGTTGTTGCCCGATCTCTATAATGTATTAAATAATTTATTATATATCTATAAATATTTGATTTTCAACTCAGTTATTATTGTATATTAATTTAATGTCGTTATAAACAGTAGAAACCATAAATTTCAAATTCTGGATCCGCTTCCGATTGGAAGTCCTATGACTCCTAAGGCAAATTTCAATTCACCAAACCAAGTTTTAATATTTTGTTGTTATGATCAAGTTATTGTCTCACACTTGACATAAAGAGTTCAAATTTGTACCCCGCATTCTTTTCAAGTAACATGCGGGTTACTTCACGAATTTTTGTTGTACACTTTCTAATGAAGGTGTAAAAAGTTAAACGCAACAAAACCCTTCAAATACTAGCTTTTACTTTAAGTAGAACTATAGAAGTTTGATTTCAAGGGGCCTAAGGTTTCATTTTAACAAGACGGAAAAGGCCAAAACTATCCCTGAACTATTAGAATTGGTACAAAATTACATTCCGTCCACCTATTGAGCCAAATTTAACCCTACAATTAAATTTTTTTGCTCAAACCTACCCTTAAAACTAACAGCCTAAAATTAAATTAAAAAAAATATTATAATTGATACAAAATTGTCCTCCGTCCACCTATTAAGCCAAATTTGACCCTACCATTAAATTTTTTGCTCAAACCTACCCTTAAAACTAACAGCCAAAAACTAACTAAAAAAATATTATATTGATACAAAATTGTCCTCCGTCCACCTATTAAGCCAATATTTACCCTACCATTAAATTTTTTGCTCAAACCTACCCTTAAAACTAACAGCCGAAAACTAGTTAAAACATATTACAAATTTTAATGACGTGTCTCATTCCTTATAAATCTGTCAAACCCACCCGTATTAGCTGACCCGCTGGACAAACCCGACCCAAAACAATGGTACTGTAGCATAGCATTATTCATGCCTTTGAAAAATGTACCTCATTCAATAATAGTAACATCTCATCAGCACTTTGGCTAACAAAAATACAAGTATCCTACAAAAACAATACATATCTACTCCTGACTTAACCTTCACAGCAGTATATGTTGGAATATGGTATAGCTGCTCCATCCCCGATTATTAATACATCGCGTTCAAGGGCAGTAAGCAACTGTCGACTAATCTGTTATTCAACTGAGAGACTTTCGCAATAGCAAATCAATTTTGTCACGCGACCAGGAACTAAATGCAGTGTTTTTTGTGAAAATCTTTATCAGATAAAAGATCAGAAATAAGAGTTTTTATTCTCTGTGCACCTGGCCCCGGTCTCAGTGAAGTTATGTTTCTTAATATGTACTGTGAGATGGTAGCATTTGCATCTCCACCTTCAAACCAACTACCAGGAACAAAACCATCAGCTTCGCGTCCCAAGAGCTCAGAATCAATCTTGTCGAGCACTGGCTCGTTCCTTCCAAATTTTCTAGCAAATGATGCATTGCTGTCGACCATGTTCTGGTAATCGTTAAGACTGAGAAAATGTGGATGTTGCTTTGGAGGATTGTCCCAGGATATAAAATGCAGGTCATGACTCGCTGTAGTGTTCATGAACTCCTCTGCATTGCATATGACAGTGTGGAAGTATCCTTCAGGCGTCGAAAGGAAGTTGGCATAGTACATTAAGACTATCCTAGGGAGGTTATCCCACCCCCATAAAAGGTACTCCATAAAGGGGCGAGAGAGCATCATCCAAGCAGAGCCTGAGGAAAAGTGATAACAGCACATTTTTAAAATCTTTGATAGGTTATATTTGTTGATTTTTCATTGTACAGAAACATAATTTTACATTGTTAATATCATAGACGTGAGACAAAGAGCATTATTGAAACTGTGATCATACCATCAACAATAATAACAAACCCAGTATAATCCCATAAGTGAGATCTGGGGAGGGTAATATATACGCAGACTTACCCCTACCTTGTAAAGGTAGAGAGGTTGTTTCTGATGGTCCCTCGGCTCAAGAAGAAACAGTGATATACAGGAGCCAAGAAAGAGGGAATTTGAGCTATGACAACGTTTGTTATGACGGTGGTATCTGTGAGCGTTACTGTGTTAAAACACAAAATCAGGAAAAACAAAACTGTTAGAAGAATTAAAGAAATATGGTAAAATAGTAGAGTTTAAGAAATATTCCGAGTCCACAATTTGCTTGTGTGTCCTTAAGGAATTTTAACCCCCTCACACGTTGCCAAGGTAATGGATTAAATCCTCCCAGGATAAAACGGAATAAACCTTCCTGCAACAGTGGCAATACAAACTGCAGGATACCAACGAACTTAAAGAACGGAGCAAAATCACACTTACGAATTTGAGAGAGAGAGACTGCGAATTAGAATGCAGTATATTCAGAAAGAAAGAAGATCTGGAGTGTTTTTCGTATATAAAAAATGGAGCCTTGCCTCAGAATTTATAGGCAATTATATGTCTGGAAAAGGTGCCTTTTCAGAAGAATACGCTGTCTGCCGCGGTTCTACCGCGGTCGCGGCAGAACCGCGGTCAGAGGGGCCTTCTGAACCTGCCTGCCGCGGTTCTACCGCAGGATTCTGGCGTATTTTCAACAGTGATTTGGCATTTAATTAATTATTAAATAATTAAATAAATTTTGTCCAAAAATAATCTTATCGATCGATCATTTGACAAATCCAAATCCAAATCCAAATCCAAATCCAAAGCCAAAGCCGAAGCCGAGCGACGACGACGGCGCGAGGGTTCATTCTCTTAAACTCCTATTAAGAGCTTTAAGAAGTGATTCTATATATAAGCAGACAAATGTGGTTGTCCCTCACCAATGAGGGACATAGTGCAAGACAAAAGTTCACTTCTTCAAATTTTCAATTTCCCTCCATTTCCAATTCACACTTCTTCTACTTTAAAGCCCAATAGCTTAAAGTCCAACAATCCCCCACATGAATGGGAATGGCTATATCAAGAAAGATCATAGATGAAAGTTGTATCAAGAAAGACAACCACATTCGATCGATCATTTGACAAATCTAAAGCCGAAGCCGAGCCGAGCGACGACGGCGCGAGGGTTCATTCTCTTCAACTCCTTTTAAGAGCTTTAAGAAGTGATTCTATATATAAGCACACAACTGTGGTTGTCCCTCACCAATGAGGGACAAAGTGCAAGACAAAAGTTCACTTCTTCAAATTTTCAATTTCCCTCCATTTTATTTCCCTCCATTTCCAATTCACACTTCTTCTACTTTAAAGCCCAATGTCTAACAGTATCCGGACCAGCTTGCGCGTATCTCGACTATTCTTCCGGGTACGTGCTAGCTCCCACCAGCACATGTACCTTGTAGCTCTACCTACTAAGGCTTAGGCAGATGGGAAGAAACCCCAAGTGCTTTTTGTCTCCATTAGATTTGAACCTGATACCTAATGGTTCTCCACCTACTTCATTAACCACTCGGCCACACTCTTGGATGCAAAAAGGTGGAAGTGAAAAAAGAGGGAATTTGACCTATGACAACTTATTTAATGTTAGAAACTTTATGTAAGTGCAATAGAACGGTGCTAGCTCGAAATGAGTTTCTCTGTTGCTGCCACAATGATGCAGTATACATTTTGATATTCAAGAAGAAAAGGAAATGGTTGTTTGGTGTGTCTTTGCTTTCTTCTTATTATTTTTCAGAAGGCCTTCTCACAAACCCTTGCTAAGTAGCCAAGTACTAGGAAACAGAGGCAAACATTTGAGAGTGTCTACATACCAAGATCTCCTTTTAATTCATACAAATTTTCTGTGCAGTCATCTTTGTATAGTTTTGCCAAATGCTTACAATGTTTCATCAGCTCAGGTCTGATATCCTTCCCAATTTTGATGCCTCAGATATTCCGAACGATCATATGCTTTAGGTTATAACAAAATATAATTCACTACAAAATGTTTTGAGATCTTAGTGTAATACGGGATAAGTCATACTCGAACTAAGAACTAAGCGGCAATAACAGTTAAATGCATAAGATGCACAAATTAAACAGACGTCTAATTCTCAGACAGTAGTAGGAAGATAAGTGAGGTGAACCTGGTTTTGGAGTTTTAACTTAATCTAAAAATTCTTGGTATCAACATGTGCAGATACTCTACAAAGAAAAATAGTAAGAAGAAAGCAAAGACACTCCAAAGACATGAATAACTTGTGGAGATCTTACGACAGGATTAGCTGAAAACACGCCGAAACCAACCATAGAATATTTTACAGGTGCTTTATTGGAGGTTTTAGATGAGTTAATATGGACTTTGAGACCCGAATCGACAATTAAGGAGGCAAAGGAACAAGGCAGCTAAAAAGAGCTTGATCACTTCCTTTTACGTCCACCAGTAATTGACTCAGAAATGAACAAAATCCTCACCTGTGAATAGTTTAAATGCTGTCGGCATACTTCTTTTCTGTGGGATCCAGAAGACGTCTGATTTATTCAGGCTGTACAACCCTGGATCGATTATTACAGGCCTGGCTCTGTGGTATCTACAAGCAGAAATATAAAATTTAGTAAGATAAACCAGCTTCCTCTATCTCATTTAATTCTAAGCACCAAAGATATGATTTATTAATTGATCAAATGAATGCGAGCCACATACTCCTTCCATCCAATGTCACTTGTATGCTCAATAAAATTAAGTTCTCTTGGCACGGTTGAAAAAGTATGAAGTAAATCTGTCAAACACAATATCAAGGCACAACATCATTAGAAATAGGGTAATCGATGAACCAGTTCACGTGATAAAGAGTTATGCTAAAAATATTTCACAACAATCCCCTGGACACAAAGGTGCTCCCCCAACACACCCCACCCCCACCCCCACCCCCACCCCACCCCCCAAAAAAAGAGGAATCAATTAAATGTACAATGAAGCACACCTCGATTCCATAATAGAAGGGCGGCTATATGAATTGCAGCCATTAAGCTCTATTTATTTTTAGGCTCATCTCATTCCAATACTATATATTTTGCTTTTTATGGCAAATTGGGATTCTCTAAAGTCTCACACTTATATCTACACGAACACACAAGTCTTTTCTCAATGAACCAGTTCATGCACTTATATTACATGGAAGCTGCTTAAAACAACTTCAAACTCGTATTAAACTTGGATACAACAAATTTACTAATTTATTTTTCCAGATGATAGGATTAGCATAGTATTCTAAAACTGTTGCATAACAATCCCCTGGACAGAAAGTGCCCCCATCCCTAAACCAAACCAAAAAAAAAAAAACAGTCTATGTATTAGTCATAAACACCTCAATTCCAAACTAGCCGGGCAGTACATGAATATTCTATATCCAATAGTTTCTATTTAGGCTCATCTCCAACACTGGGAAAAACAAAAGGCAGCAGGTGCACTAAGTTCTGGTTATGTGCGGAGTTTGGGGAAGGGTCGGACCACATTGGATCTTATGTATGAAGCTTTACCTCGCATTTCTGCAAGATGCCGTTTCAGCAACAACTTTTACCGCTGCGTCAAGGCTCTCATTCCAATACTAAAATATTATTTTTGTAACGCAAATTGGGATTCTCTAAAATCTCACACTTATATTTAGACAAGCATACAGGTCTTTTGTCAAATTCAAAGGGCTCCTGCATTAGAGTAACAACAACTAAGTCTTAATTGAAACTAGTTAGCATCATTTGCAAGCAGGAGTGGAGCTAGAGTATTAACTACGGGTTCGGACGAACCCAACAGCTTTTCTTTAGACCCTAAATTTGTATTAGGAAATCCATTAGATATGTCTAAATATTTAATTGTTAACCCAGTAAGTAAAACAAGCAATGGATTCGGTGGCAAGTTCAGAACCCATAATTTCAAATCCTGGCCCCCCTCTACCTACATGAAACTAAAAGAAAGGAAGCAATAGCAAGCACCACATTTACCTAATCTGAAAACCAAAAATCTCAACAAATGATTGAAAGGAAAACTAAAATATTAAACAAACAATGACAACTAGCTCAGAAAAGGATATTCACTAGCAAACACAAAGGAAAGAACAAGGACCAAAAATGATTTCAAGAAAATAGTTTTAACCACATACCATCTTGAGTCACCAAAGGATAATCAGAAGCACTAAGATTAATAAACCAATCCCACTCACCACCTTCCTTAAGCAAAATAGCAGCAGCATGAAGTGTATTACTAACCATAGTAGGACCTCTATAAGTAACCAAATTAGATCTCACAATTACTCTCACGTTCCCAACTTTAACAAATAAAGGCTCATTTTTAACAAAGTTAACTAACTCTAATCTCTCATCAACTGGTGCTTCAAGGTCTAAATGAACTACATATTGATTCAATGGATGGTACAATGCTTTTAATGTTCTCTTTAAACTAACCCCATCTCCACTTGAACCAGATATCAAATAAGCTAATCTGGGTATTGTTGAAATAGGCCTAGTTTGAGATGTATGTAGCTTTGATTCAACAAAGATTGGAACTTTAGCTTTATTGGGTGATTTTTGAAATGGGGTTTTAGTAGAAATGAAAATGATTAGGAAAATGGAGATTAAAATGGCAAAAACTAGAGGTAGCATCCATTTTGTTTTCTTTATAGTAAGTTCCATTTTCTTGATCTACTATTTCCAAGATTCTTTTTTTTCTTTGGATTTATGTATTCTTGGAAAATAGTAGTACTACCATTCTTGAGCTTTGTTCTTTTGCTCTTATGACTTGAAAATCTAGTGTGTGTGTGTGTGTGTTTTCACTGAAAGTTTGGAGAGGTGTAAAAGATTAGTGTAAGTATAAGAAATCTTGCTTAATTCTCTAAACATGGTGTTAAATGGAGGTAAGTGGACCCCACCACCAAGACAAGTGTAATGAACTGAATAATCTATCTTTTTCTTAGGGAATACTTTTTTCTATAATGTTTCAAAAATATTCCATTGAAAGAAACATTTAAGAACAGTTTAAGTTATATACATTAGCATTACCTTAATGATGGAATGATAAGTATTTTTTCGTTCTTATATTTTGAGTTCGAGCTTTAAAATAAAGTCAATTTTAGTTGGGAGCTTTACTTCCAAAGTGATACTTTGTGGTACGAATCCACAATATGTAAATATTGGACGCTAGGTAAAAAAACAAAAAAAAAAGGTTATATATGCCATAGTATAAAGAATTTTTATATTATTATGTCATTTAAAGAATATATACAAATAAGTCTCCTTAAAATGGTAATACATAATCTAGAAAAAAGATTACCTGCTACAATAAATAAATATAATTTGATGGTGTAAAAAGTTACTACGAGTATAGAATTGACAAGTAGGAATTCATTATTTTCTAGTGAAAGAATATCTTAATCCCTTTATTAGGAGGGTACAAGATATCGAGCGGAAAATAATAATAATTAACTTAAATAATTATTTATTCAACCATTTAAACTAAATACTAAATGTCTATTTATATATAATATTTGTACATTGTACTATTATTTATGTATTAATTATATATATTAGTTGGAAAAACAGCTAATGAATTTGGCGGATTATTTATGTGGAAAAAAAAAAAAAGAAGTTAAAAGGACTTTGTGCTAAAAGGTAATGATATCATCAACCATCAGAAGATTGACAGCTTTTTCACGCGCGACCCCACATGGTTCATTTTGTAACCCAATTTTCTCACTTTTAATGGTAATCAAACTATTGCACTACCCATGTCTACTTTCCTTTTAGTTTTGATTAGACCCAATAATAATTGCATTTTCTAGAAAAATTCATGTATGTACGTGATAATAAAAGTAAAGCGATAGTTTGGTATAATAGTGCGATTACCAAGGATATCCAAATGGGATCTCCCATCGGATGAGTTATCCCATCTTCTATATGGATAATTACGTTTGGTACAATAGTAGGATGTCCCATGGGATGAGTTATCCACCTTCTATATGGGATAACTAATCCCATCATTTTAGGGATCGTTTGGTTGGGAAATAAATTATCTCACGGTTAGTTATTTCGGGATAAGTTATACTGGATTAGTTATCCCACCCTCCCATAAGGATTAAAAAAGAGAAATTTTCAGAAACCACTATTGTTTAATGGTTATTAACTTCCTATAGCTACCATATAAATAATTACTTCCTATAGCTACTATTTAGTTGTTACGGTAGTGTATTCGCTGTATTCGCACTACTATATTCATGAATACAGTAGCAAAAGTCGCCTAAAAATAGGGAGTTACAGTTGTACGCGACTTATTCACATGTATTCGCGCCATGTATTTATGAATACAGTAACCGCAATCACCTTAAAAATAGGTCTATCCAGTTGTCTAATAACGGAAATAGGATCAATTAGCGTAATGCACTCCTAGTATAGGATCATTTTTTGATAAATTTTGGGTATTTAAATAATAGCCCACTTTTACCTATTTTTCGGACCTAAACTACCCAGACCTCGGTCCAATAACCCCAAAACCCAATCCCAGGCAACCTTGCCTAGTCCAAAACCGACCCAGACCCCTTAAACCACAGTTGTTGATCAAAAATGATCAATGGCTCACAACCCTCAACCCCTCTTCTCTTATAACCTAACCCTCTAAACCCTAGAGACCATTGCCTCTGACTAGCCGCCCTCAAACGCTCCTCCCCCACCAAAAACCCTAATCGTCGCCCTCTCCAAATCTTCTTCTAATCCCGCCTACAATGGGATTTTCCTCTTATTTACTTACCATATTTGCGTGTTACCGCTACTGGTTGATTCTCCATGGTATCACCTAGTACTTGCCTAAATATGGCAAGTACTACCTCTCTGCTTCTGTCCGAATGAGTCCTATTTCTTGAATCTGTACTGTATTTCGCTACACGCGTTTGATTCTGTATTATGTAAGTCCGATTTCGTTTGGATTTCTGTGATTTACACTTTCCCAAAAAAACTAGGACTTTCCGGGTTTCTCTCTTAAATCGATTTCAAATTGACTTGCATGTTTTCTTTCCTTGTTTATTGTTTATTTTACTTTGTTTCCTTATATGTTTGCCCAATTTTTGACTACTATATAAACCTCCTTATTTTCCCTTCTGGGACAGTTTTGGAAATCGATCCTTTACTAAAATTTGAGGTTTTGCTATTCTCTTGCTTGCTATTCTGTACTAGCCAGCTGAAAGCCAAGGCCATTAACATCTTAAACTCGTTCCTAGTGCGAGCAATGCCCTGAGTTCATCGAAGCTCTTGGGAACTTTGACGCATTATGGATTATGGGTTTTCTGTGGAAAATTATTCTTTATTGTTTTTCGCTTAACTGGTGAGTTACTAGACTTTGCAATTTCATTCCTAAACATCTATGGTTTGTACATGTTTTCATTCCTGAAGTTAGTCAACTCAATATGTTTTCCTGGGCTGCGTTTGTGTGTAATTCTGTTTACTTCTATAGGTCTCTTTAGCTTTAGTTTCAAGCATGCCTGGTTCTATTGAATTATGACTAGTCAATGTGTTAAAATTACTACTGTTTAGGGCTCTTTCTGTGTTTAATTTAGTCTTTTGTTTGAATATGCCTTACTTGCATAATTTGCACTTCTTTTAGTCGACTAGTGGATTGAGTGCAAAGCATGAACGTATACACTCATTGTATGGTAAACCTATTCTAGATTTCTGTGGTAGTTTGCTTATCTAACATGCTTTGACCCTGCTCTCTATTTGCATGCCGTTTAGCATATTTAACCCCCATCCTTGTTCACCAGTAATGGTAATCTGCTTTTCTCATGTCTAAATGTTGTCATATTACTTATACTCAGCATAATCTGAACTTTCTTAGGGTAATCAGTCTACTGCGTGTGGTATGCTTCACTGTGATTTGCACTATGTGATCTCTTATCTCCTAAGACTGGTTCCGTACCCTGTAGCATCTTAACATGTTTAATTTTGGATCACTTCAACATGAGTCTAACTATTGTGGTTGTATGTTGTTTCTGCTTTTTGTGTTTAGATAGTACCTTAACTCTATAGAGATTTCCCTTTTTTTACTTGAATGAACTTTTTACTAAGTCCTGTGTATATTGGAATGCTCTTTAATGCTGCCTAAAAATCTGTTCTAAGCTTGTTTCATGCCATTCTGGTTTTCTAAAAGATAAACACTATATTTGATAACTAGGACCTTACTCTTATGCTAACATGTCTTCAATATGTTTAGGTTCATTTGCTATTCTCTCCTTCCTGTAATTGCCAATATACTTATCCCTCTATTATGTCCAAGTACTAATTAATGTGGAATCAGATTGGACTTAAAATTCAAACCCTTAAATGTCAACTAGTGCAACCTATGTTTGGAAACCTGTTTCTTCTCCTAATTCCTATGATGACTGTTTATATGGTACTTTGACTATGTGAACCTGGCTTGAATTTGCTGGTCTACTTGACCAGTTGTGCTGTATGATTATTCTAGGAATTTCTGTCCATCCTCCATACCTGTTACTTTGGTATTCTGAATTCCTATTATTAGCCGGCTGAAAGCCAAGGCTACCTAGGTTCTTTGTTGGCCCCCTAGTGTGAGCATTGCTCAGGGTCCATTTGAGGACCTTGTGAACTCTGATACACTAGGGTTTGGCCTTAGTCATTCCTCTAACCCCCAAACTATCCCTAATGCTCTACTTCCCTATCATGTGCTGTGTTTTATGCTGGTTGTTCCAGATGATGCAATATTTGATGTTATAGCTCATTAAAAGGGGTCTGAACTCCCCTATGGGGTTAGATTAGATGGAGGAGGACTGCGAACGTCCGTCCCATGAAGCGCCAGGGAACCATGCATTCCTCCCGGGCTGGGCTCTGAGAATCCCTGCCCACCACTCTCCCTGTAGGTCGAGCCTCCTTTTCAGTCGCCCTCTACATCGTTATTTTTTCCATAGATATCTAATTTATCTTGCCCCCTGATCCGCGTAGACCAAGGGCGAACACTCATCGTTTACGACCTGTGATCGTATGGTTCTTTGTTGAAGGCCTATGTCTGCTATGCCAGAAGTTTTGAAGGCCCAGTAAGGCTGGGTACTTAGTTATTCTCTTTGGGCCTACTATAGGCCTGTATATTGCCATATAATATTACTACTGTATTATTAATTTGGGTCTGTAATAACAATCCTTGTATAAACGATTGGGGTGCTAGTAAAAAGGGATGGGGTAAATTCTAATATTATCATGCGATGGGTAGATGACATGCCTATAGGATTGAATGATGCTTTTGCCATATGTGGTCCATTCTCTATGAACACTGTAGAAAGCATGCTATCGGGAAAACACACACACTTGCACTATTTGTTTATTAGTAAAGCATGAGCTTAAATATTTCAATATCTTTGTTGCTATGTGTTATTAGAGAACCATGCCTGTAGGAAATATCATTGAACCTTCTATTAATTCATATTACTGCATCATATGCAATAGATGCCATGCCTACTTTCACTAGTTTATGTTCCATTAGTTTTCACCTAGAAATCATGTCTATAGGAACTTAATTAACCGATCATCTACTTCTCCGCCTAGATAACATGTTTATAGAGATAATGGGTTATAAAAATAAAAAAATTCAATTGTCAATTGCTAGAGATCCTACCTATAGGACTGTCAATCGCTTAATATTATCCCCTTGTCAAGGCTGGAATTCCAGAATTATCTTCATTTGTTTAACTATGATACTACTAGATATCATGCCTATAGGACAATGGCACTTTTCTAAAACTGGTATCTAAACCAGCGTTAACAGTAAATGGTCTATTGCTTCCTCGTCTAAACCACTAAAGGCAGTAATGTTATATATGCGC